GAGCCCATGAGCCACAACTACTGAGCCCGCATGCCACAACTACTGAAGCCTGCGCACCTAGAGCCTGTGCTCCTCAACAAGAGAAGCCACCACGATGAGAGGCCTGCGCACCGCAATGAAGAGTAGCTCCTGTTCGCCACAACTAGAGAAAGCCCGCGTGCAGCAACGAAGACCCACCTCAGCCAAATAAGTAAATAAATAAATAAATAAAAATTTAAAATAAAATTTAAAAAAAGTAAGATCACCAGTAATAAGACAAGTTTGACATTGTGCCTCCTGACATGAAATACTAAGAATATCACTTATGTGATATACTTGCCCAAATGCATAACTTGAATCTAATCATGAGGAATCATCAGACCAACCAAAACTGGGGGGCACTCTACAAAATAACTGGCCTGTACTCTCCCAAAATATCAATGTCATGAAAGATGTTGAAAGGCTGAGGAATTGTTCCAGATTAAAGGTCTGAAGAAATATGACAACTAAATACAATGGGTAATCCTGGTTTGGATCCTGGACCAGAAAAAAATAATTAAGAAAAACATTATTGGTTTAAATGCCATGTGGTACCTTGGATTGGATCCTAGATCAGAAAAAGGACATTTATTGAAAAACTAGTGAAATATGAATAAAATCTGGGATTTAGTTAATTGTGATAAACTGGTGTTGGCTTCTTAGTTGTGCTCTGGTAATAAAAGTTGTTAACTTTAGGGGCAATAGGTGAAGGATATATGGGAACTCTCGGTACTAGCTTTGAAACTTTTCTGTAAACCTAAAATTATTCCAAAATTAAAAATTTCTTTAAAAAAGAACAGTATTGAGACAATTGGGGAATTTTATGGATTATAGATTATAGTATTATACCAGTGGTAAATTTTTTTCTATTTTGATCATTGAACTGTGGTCATATAACAGAATGTCCATGTTCAAAGGGGTGAAATGTTATTGGACATTTTCTCAGCCTCACTTCTTCCTTTTTTTTTTTCTGCCCACAGCATGCAGTTTGCAGGATCTCAGTTCCCCAACCAGGGATTGAACCTAGGCCACTGCAGTGAAAGCCCAGAATCGTAGCCACTAGGCTACCAGGGAACTTCCTCTTCTTCCTTCTTTTGGTAACAGACCCTATTTTACTTTTGGGGGACTACTCTGCTCCTATTACATGAGATCTTGGTGGTAATGTAAATCAAGGTTTTCTGTGGTATCTACCTGTCTTTTCAGTGGTATGCACTAGCTCACTGGAAATAATATGCTTTTAGTTTTGCAAAGGAAATTACTAAAAGACTAAAGTGCTTCTAAAAAAATAAGAGACCATTGTTTCTTCCTCATCATAGGTGAGTTTAACACATTTGCAATTAATATTATTATTGATATGCTTTTATTTATTTCTACTTTTTTTTGGCTTTCTATTTATTATATCGTTTTCTGCAACTTTCACCTTTCCTGCTCTGTTGGATTTATGAAGTTTTTATTATTGCCCTCTTCAGATTTTTAAGTTACACATTATATTTCTATGCTTTTCTAGTTACCCTTACTTTTTTTACACCTTTATAAAGCCTAAACTCTCTTTTTCCAGAACTCAAGGACTCCTAAACTTAGATCTGCCTTTCCCACTTTTTCTGTTTTCTTCTTTTCATTATACTTTTTGTATTTCATTCTTAAAAATTAGCATATATGATATAATCAGAAAAAAATGAAGTTTCATTGGGGAGAAAATGCCCTATCTGCCATCTGTGTATAAATAAAAGAGAAAGAAGGTATTTTTCAGTGATCTTTTTATAAAGTAAAAAAGGAAAGAAAATCTCAAGGTATGACAAACTCTTAGAGGTGGGAAAAATCGAGGGAGTTCTCATTTAGATTGTGTATGGCTGTTTCAGCCACAGAATACAAATAGACTAGGGAGTTCTGGGAATCTGAGATGTTTGGATGGAACTAAGCATAGTTTTGGTTTTCTTCTTGCTAAAATCTCGCATGGCGTAAGCCAATGAGCTCAGTGACAAAAACTCTCAAGGTGGCAGTTTATATTTGTCCAGTAAGGAAGTATATATATATATATATATATATGATTATCTTGAGGACTCTGTTTTACTCTGATAAAGACTTATGAACTACCAAAGACATATGGCCACTCCCCCCACCCCCCCCCATACACACACACTTTTGGCTGCATTGGGTCTTTGTTCCTGAGTGTGGGCTTTCTCTAGTTGCAGCAAGCGGAGGTTATTCTTCGTTGCGAACGGGCTTCTCATTGTGGTGGCTTCTCTTGTTGCAGAGCACAGGCTCTAGGCGCATGGGCTTCAGTAGTTGTGGCACATGGGCTCAGTAGTTGTGGCTCACGGGCTCTAGAGTGCAGGGTCAGCAGTTATGGCGCATGGGCTTAGTTTCTACGTGGCATGTGGGATCTTCCTGGACCAGGGCTTGAACCCGTGTCCCCTGCATTGGCAGGTGGATTCTTAACCAGTGTGCCACCATGGAAGCCCAAGGAAGTATATTTTAACTTGCTCTACTGTATTCCTTCTTCCACTTAAGGGAGTGAATTAATTTATGGAACCTAGATAACATGCTTCCTGACATATTACAATTAAAATTCCCTTGTTTTATTCGCAGACCATCGCACACCTCTTGCCACCTCGACCTACACAGCTGCTCTTCCAAAGGGACCTCACATCATGCCGACAACAGTAGAGCTCCCTACTGCCTCCTAATATGTGTCCTCTTCCTGTAGCCTAACGTAGTTTTGAGTTTCTCAGATGAGAAGCATGGGCATGGGAAGGGGAGATAGGATGGGAATGGAAAGCACTGAGTAGGGTAAAACAAGGATTTCATGTAGGAAACGAGAGAAAACTGTTGGGTTGAAAAAAAAAGGCAAGTCCCGTGACTATACATACCTAAAGAATTCCCTGTGTGGCTGACAAATGGATTCTGAAGACAATTCCAAAAGAAAGAAGGTAACAGAAAATTTTGAAACTGCAAGAGTGTAACTAGTATGCCGCCTCCTAAAACAACTGGGAAAGTTTTAAAGAAAAAAGGTATTCAGTGACATTTGTTAAAGATGACAAATGACAAGACAGACTTTACTCAGGACCAGTGTGATAGGTATAGGGACCACTGCCATGGGATTTTAGTTGGGGAGAGATTGCGCTCAACTCTGAATACACCATACACAAGTAGGAATTTATAGATAAGGAGTAGGGTAGGGGGTCAGTGGGTGGAAAATTACTAAGAGAAAATGGGTAAGGAGGGTTCTGGCTGAATCCGCCTAACAGGATTCCTGC